ATCTTCATCTCTTCTCTCTTTCTCTATTCTCTATCTTCTTGTTTTCTCTCTCTGTTCTCTTCCCTGTTCTTACTAGCTCTTCACTTTCCTTCTCTTCATCCCTCCCTCCACCCTCTTTTTCTGTCTCTTGATCTCTCTGTTCTTTTTCTCTTTCTCCGCGCTCACTCCCACATCTCAACATGATTTCCCCATTTTTCTATCTCTGTTCTCTAGCCACAGTCGAGGTCGCTGTCTCGCGAGACCAGAGAAAGAGACGGCGATCATGTTTGCCGGAGAAAGACGGGATCGAGGAGGGTTGTTTCGTGGATGACGGTGTCGAATAGAGACGGGGGAACGAGTCGAAACAAAGTGGAGAAGAGGCTCGAGGAGAGAGGGGGAGGAAATCCGGCGGAGTCGAGGGGGAGAAAGGAAAAATGGGTGAAAGGGGTTGCCGATGGGAGGGATGGGACGGAAGGAACCTGGAAAGGGTTAAGACATGGACGGAATCGGGGAAACGGGAACGGGAGGCTTGGAGAGGTTTTGTATAAGTTGCGGCTGGCTGGTCAGTGGAGGACACTCCAGACGCTTATTAATAACTTCAGAGGAATCTATGGCTTTGGGAATGGGAACGCTGTGGATTTACATCGGGTTAAGATGCTTCGTGAAATATTGTTCGTTCGACACTTCGGCTTATTCAGCTCCGAACACTGAAAAGGAAGCTTCAACAACATAAAGCATCTCTCGTCCTGACGTCTCCACCGTAGAAAATAAGAATTTCCATGAATATCCAGTGATTTTCATAAAACCCACGATAAAAGCGACAGCCTCTTGCCACGAAAAATCCCTTCGAGTATTACATTTCCATAAAAATAGTCGGAGACACTTCACGGAAACCAGTTTCCATTCCAATAACACAAAAGCGTGCAAACTGAAATTCGATAAGAGGAAACAACTCCAACAATCTTTAAATGATTCATTTAAAAATCCCCGGTAATCCAGGCTTCCCCCGAAGTTGCAAACACGTGTCCAAGAATCTTACCCGAAGAAAAACATTTGCCAAAGAAGCGCGCGGAAGCAGCAATAATCGAAAACTAGAAGGAAAATCGAGGATCGCGAAGCCCCCGGAACCAGATAAAGAATCGTAAGGGACAGCGGCGTGGTCGGGGGTGGCGCAAAACAGTCGGAAGGGTGAAGGATAACAGAGCAAGACCAACAGACAAAGGACGGTCGACTGCGAGGGGGGTCCGCGTCGGTTGGCAGGGAGATGGGAAGAAGACGCGGGAGGATGGAACGAGAGGGCTAGCCGCGTAGTGTCGCGCTGAGGAAGGATAAAGAGGGCTGGTGAGTGGGGATGCCGGAGAATCAGCGCAAGCTACACCCCACCGTGGCCGCCGTGGCAGTCAGTCGTCCGCGCACCCCCGTCCGGAGAGGGTTATCGTGTTCGGTGGTGAGTTCTCGTTTGCCAGTGACTGATCATCAGCCGCACTCGGTCATCGGTCGATCAGCTGATCCTCTGCTAAGTGTCCTGCTGGCGTCTCCTCCGACAGCTGCCATCAGCCTCCAGCCAATCGTCATCGAATCCTGGCCTTGAACTGAGTGAGTACCTGCTCGTCTCTCCGATTACCATTCACCCGATTACGTTAGTCACGTTCTTCGATCATTCTCGCGTATGCTCGTCCGTGTCACGGAGAATGGAAGAAGGTTAGGGATTACCTTGTCACCCGAGGAACTTTGAGTACAGCGATAGGATTAGAGCTGATCCTTGCGTAAATCTGCGAGGTTGTTGATAGGGTTAGGAACTCCGTTGCAACGTGTTTAGTTAGGGATCGGACAAGGGTTAAGGTCGAGGGGTTGCACTGTTTTCTTTCCCCGGCGTGGTCTCTTTTTTTCTGGCGCCGTGCAAGAGAAGCAATCGATACCCGATTCTCGAGATGTAACCAAGGACGCCGCGGCTTATCCGCAGCGACACGTTAGACGTGAATGGATCGCGCAACATGGATTTCCCGTTCGCGTTGCTGCACGGTGTTCTTTCTGCGTTTGTTGCTCGCGCGTTGTTGATTCTATGCGGCAGCTGTTGAAGGTTTAGGGGTTTGTTTTGAATTTTCTTGATACGGGTAGGTGTAGTTAATTGTAGCGTTACGCTCCCGGTTGGATAGTGTAGAATGATTACACCGAGTGTTTGCAGTTACAAACTCGTCCTAAAATGAGGAATGGCTCCCTTGTAGAGCGCGGAGTCCGTTTAGCTTCCGGGCCCAGCATTCCTCTTTTACGACCCTCGAACTCTGTGTTCGACCGTTCGCGGCGGAACACACGCGGTAACGTTCGGAATTGATGCGCGAAATTTCTGCTGGTAGCAGGCCGTAAGAGTCATTGTAATTCCTGCGAGTTTCGACCACGTGTAGCCGCGTCTAATGAATGGTGTACCTGAGTTGGCCAGAGTCGAGCTCTGCTCTCCTGTTAATACGGGGAACAGATGACTGATTATTCGGTTTTTGAGTAGTCCTTTCGAAAGGGATAATGGATGATCGACTAATGTAATTTGTGGGCATCGTATCATCATTTTTTAGTGACAGTCAGACCTAATATTCATTTTATTACCTATAGAATAAGAAAATTCCTCATCAACGATTATAATTAGCTTAAAATTTCATACAAAAGATCATTTATTAATTCAATATAAAGCAGTTAAGGCTCATATACAATGATAATTAAATCTATGACATAGTTATTGAGTATATATTGACATAGCTATCGAATTCGAGGTGTCAGGCCATTGATGGATTATTCTACTTAATATATATCACTACACAGTTCACTTATTCCTAGAAACTGACTGCATTATTAGACTGTTTAGACAGCTATCACTATATAGTAGAATTTTCTATTGCGAGATTTTTTAATCATTTGTTAGTGACAATCAGACCTATTCATATTATTATCTATAAAATTAGATTCCTCATCAACGATTATAATTAGCTTAGAATTTCATTCAAAAGATCATTTAGTAATTCATTATAAAGCAGTTAAGACTCTTATCGAATGATAATTAAATCGACATAGTTATTGAGTATATATTGACATAGCTATCGAATTCGAGGTGTCAGGCCATTGATGGATTATTCTACTTAATAGATATCGGAACACAGTTCACTTATTCATAGAAACTAACTGTCCGAATTATTAGACTGTTTAAACAGCTATCAGCTATCATTATACAGTAGAATTTTCCATTGTGAGATTTTTGATTCTCGGGGAAACGCATGAGTACCGATCAGTTATTAATGAACCGAAATGGCCACGTGTCGGCCAGGCAGCGGCGAATACCCGTGGGGTGGGGGTCATTATTAATTATATCTGTGCTTCCTAAACACAAATTCGTCTATGCTGCTGCTCCAACTAGTACAAATTTGCGGTCACGTTAGTTCCAGGTCGTATAGCTCGTTTATATCTGGATGTATAGCTAGAATAGTAACGTCGTTTCAACCGGCGATGTTCATCCGCTTGGAGGTAATGTTTGTTCATGTAAATGTGCCCCCCCCACCCCCCACCTACGGGGGCGCCAATAATGGTTCCGTATGAACGTATTTGCAGTGAGTTGAGAGAGTGGGCGGCGCGTTAACCCGAAAACATTTGACACCGTATTTATTTTCGTTGGTTGTTCACGCGACCCTCCTGTTTGGCAGTGCCACCGCTTTCTGCGGGGGTGATTTGTTTGCGTTAAATAAGTACGTTCGGCCGATGCTGGTAGACGTAAACATGTGGGTTCACCTTATATACGAGTTGCACCGTTCTCTAACGTTTCTCTCTGTAAAATTCTAACTTACGGTACGAGTGAGTCTACTGATAAACATTTCTATAAATGAATTTATTAACCCTTCGGCTACGGCAGAATTTTCGACGCTTGTTTCTAAGCGTGTTGAAACTATGAAGACACTGAATTGAATTAAGTCAATCTAAAATAATCATATGTATAATATATGATTAATGGAAAATGCAATTTTTGAATTAGAATTCACTTATGGTAGATCTAGCGAGTTTTATTGTAATTGTCAACATTTGCCTTTAGGGGTTAGTGTAGATAGTAACATATTTTCAGTAGTACAAAATTATTATTAAAATAATATTATCACTAATACCAACTGATATCAATAATAGTATCACTAATTACAAATTTACAACTCAATACTGATTGCAATGATCCTAATCACAAGTAAAAAAAGAATGCCTTAATTCTGTATTTCCAAAAAATTGAACAATATCCCAGCAGTAACGGAGGTAAGAAGTTTTAAATTCGAACTTCTCGTAGCAGACCTACCCTCGAGGACTCCCCGAGGATCGAAACCACCCCGAAGCGTCGTCGCTTCCGTTTATTGAATTTAGCGGTCGCGCGATTACCTTGACAACGTAAGCGATCCACGATTATGCAGCCCGTTTTTACGGTCAGCCTCGGCAACCATACCGCGAACAGAGTTTCCATCGTCCGTCGAAGTTCGGACCCAGGCGGGCGCAGCGAAGGGTCTAATGAACGGTCCGTACGAGGGTCGAATCGGAAAACGGAGTTCCACTCCCGGGTCTGTCGCCTCCGCGGGAATTGTTCTTGAGTTATATCACGTTGAACTATCTTCCGCCGCCTTACGGCCCGGCGAGGATGTATGTACCCAGAAACTTTTCGAAGTTTGCGCCTCGCGGCGGGAGCGTGACGTGGTGAACAAGAAGCGCCGATCAATCAGCATTAAGGCCTCGGTCACTGCGATCGGGTCTCGGCTTGCAAATGGAAATCTTTTCTCGGCTATCACCGGGTTCTTTCTATTGGGCATGATAAACGAGAATGATACGCCAATGATATTTTATGCTGTCGTTTAGTTTCATCGGTGACAATAGCCACCTTCTAAAAATGAGATTAACCCCTTGCCATACAACGAGTGAGACTCGTGGTGAAGATTTTCAACATGATTCAACAAATATATATATATATATATATATTATTATTATTATTATTATTATTATTAATAACTTATTGGGAAAAGAGAAAAATTCTAAGCATATGTTCTGCCTATATTTCCTTTCAAGTATAATAGTTGATTACAGAGGAATAAATGTAAATGTTATTATAAATTATAAATGTAAATGTTATTCCTCTGTAATCCACTATTATACTTGAAAGGAAATATAGGCATAACATGTGCTTAGAATTCTTCTCTTTTCCCAATAAGTTATTACAAAGTAGCTGTATCGATCAGAGTTGAGAAAGAAATCATAGGCCAAGGGGTTAACCTTTTACAGACAAAGATTCTCTGAAATATACAAAACTGGATGAAGCTAACTCGTATACCAATCGCTTAAATAATAGAACAAACTACGCGCTGATCTCTTGTTCGTGTGATTGAATCATTTGCTCGCAACTTGGTCTTCGCACGAACGTTTCATCTCGCCGAAATCTCGGCATCCACTCATAAAGGATTAAGCATTGCAAAATGAATTCCGCCGTTGGTTAAACATTGATATATTCTCTTTTATCGTGCTCTATAGACACGTTAAACAACGAAGTTTGTTCTTGGTTAGATTTGCGGTTGATACTGAAAACCACGATTTAAAAGGGGCCGCACGTTCCACGATATTTCGAATTCAGTCATATTTCCTTGCTTTAATCACAGGCTGTGTTTATCGAGCTATAAAACAAGCTCGTGGGTTCGTTTTAAATAAATCTGCTTGTTCCTGGTACAGGAAGTACCCTTTTGAAAATTCCCCCGTACATTTCAGGGGATGTTTCCTTACGGAATCACGGTATATCTTTTCTTCCTGCCCCTGTGCCTCGATATGAATGAGAAAATGAATTTCAAAACATTCTTCCCGCCAGAATAAACCTGAATATTTTCCGACGTGAATCATCCCTTGGACCCCGTCCCTTATATTATCCCACGACGTAGCTTGCTCGAGGGACAACGGTAACAGTCGCGGAATCCGCGAGTTTCTCTTTAATTAATGGAACGATCGGCGATTTCCTTTTCAATTCATTTTCTTCGTTATCTCCCCGGCCGTGTTTGCACACAAACGCACGCCGGCTCGCCGTGTTTGATACGGAAAACGGTCGTTCCGCGCGTAGAATGAATACGGCCCCGCTCTCCGCGGTAACGAACATCCTCGCCGCTGGGGCGTAACTCGTTGTTATTACAGGGGAATTCAATTTTTTAAATATCCGCCGCGCGGAACGTTAACAAAGGAAACGCGGCGTTCTTTCTACCCGCATAATTCCGCGGCATTAAACGAGCCGCCGTGCCGTTCAAGGATAAATGGAATAAACGCGCGCCAAGTCGACAGTTATCGTGCCGCGGACGTTGCACAGTTGATGCGCGTGGACGTTGCATTCGGAAATCAGGGACAGAGAATTATTCTTAACCCTTAACCCTTAGCAGTTCTACGTCGAGTCAGACTCGACGTTCTATTCTGTCGCAACCTCTACCTGTTTCAACAAATTTTTCTATATTTATTTGTATCACAATTGTACCATTTAACACTAGAACTACGCACCAATCAAAATGATTGGTTTCGATTTTCTTTAGCGATTATTAATATCTTCGAAGCATTGAATATTCGAA